GGGCCACATGACTGAGTGGCTGAGGACCGAAGAGAAAGGCTGATGGCTGTGAGGAGAGGTGTTGCTGTGGACAAATGACTATATCCTTACTGTTTATTGATCCTGACATGTGGTGACCTATTAACTTTGCTAACATAACCCTCATAATTATGAGTATTGTCTGTTGAGTTCTGTTAGCCTAGCATATCAAATCATCAAACCTAGCATAGGAGTAGAGTGCTGGTATCAGAGTGGGTAAAGTAATGGCTGGTGTCAGAGTGGGTCAAGAAGGATGGCATGTCCAACCTCTGCCTCATGGCCACACAGAAGCCCGAGGAGGTCCGATGTGGTCCCTTCATGCCATTTTACACAAGCTTTCTATGATGCAGAGCAGTAAACACTAACACAAGCAATACATTTCCCTTTGGAGTAAAGATGTCATTGCTATCTCAGAACTCTTCTTGTGGCCCATGGGGAAAACAACCTGGTGTCATTGTGTGTTACATATTGTGCTGCTAAGCAAAAGGTCAGCAGTTTGAGTCACTCTGAGGGAGAAAGATGAGGCTTTCTGCTCCTATAACCACTGAAAGCCCCCGAATCCTGAAGGGGCAGGTTGACTCAGTCCTGTAGGCTGACTCAGTGGCAGTGAGTTGGGTTTGTGTTTTGTTTTTTCATAGCAATCTTTCTTGATTTTCCGTTTGCCAGTCCCTTCCTGTTTCCTTGCTGCTTTATAGCTATTACCCAATTCTACCAAAAAAGGGGGGAGCCTTTATAATCTTCCTTCCCATTCTCTTGCTTTCTATTGTCTTGGTACCTTTAGCAGTGTGTTCCATTCTTAAGGATTCTCAAAGCAGCATGAGAATTCGGTTCATCGGGTATTTGAATAATAATCTATCACATGTCATCTTGCTGGCCTCTTGGTGCATTTTAAACGTCTCTCCTTACACACTCACACTCACACTTTCTCCTACCCCCCACCCTAGGCTCAGAGAAAAAGCTGCAAGCAGCCTAAAGATGACCAAACCCGAGGACTGCATTTGACGGCAGATCTGTGAGATATCATTTGGTCTAAAACAGGTCCAGTGCTTGGTACCTTATTTGGATATTGCTGCTTTCAGTGCTTGAGCTGTTCTTCCAAACGCTGGCGTTCTCAACTACCTCTCCCTATGATGTAAGTACCACAAGTATTGCATTGGCTCTGTGGTTCTAGTGGGGGCTTTCCGATGAGGTTCTACATTTGAATCCTTTGGAAAAAATCTTAGAAGTAAATGTTTAAATGATGCACTTAAAGGCTTCACTTAATAAACTAAAAAGAAATCCCCAAATTTTAGAGACCCTACTCTGATTCTTCTTTAATCTTCAAAGCAAGCAACAGCTTGAGATCCTCAAAAACAAGGCCTGAAGGGACCAGCTGCGCCCATCCTAATCTAATTATTTCTCCAAAGGTACTTACTTAACTGAGGGTCACTGCCTTCCTGTGCCTTCTATTGCTAGTCAAGCTAGTAAAAATCTCTTATAAAGCTGTAAGTAAGCTCTTTTGAATGTTGACCAATGGGGGTTCTAGACAGTAGTTATATACAGGATCTATCTCCTCTGCTATCGCTATCATTAAACACAAGGAACATTCATAGAAGTGGGTGAAAGACAGCCCAGCAGTCAGAGGGCAATAGGTGCGAAGGCTGTGGGAGGCCGTTCAGAAAGTAATTCTCACTAAAGAATCAAAAAGAGCTAAAATGTGGAAGCCCAAATACTAAAGGACTTTCTGGGATGTGGCTGTTGGCTTTGATGATTTTATCTGAGGGCAAAGGAAAACTGAGAAAGGTGATGGGTATTTTTTGGTTCTAGTAGGCCCTGTTCGAAAACTCGGAGCTTCTAGGCCGGCATGTGAAGGTCATTAAGGTATAATTTTATTTTAAGCCTCTTTTGCCCAGCTCCATTTACAATCGCTAACCCTTCCTGCCGTTTTTCTAATTTGGAGCCATGTGGAATGAATGCTATCTCATAGTTTGTGCTTTTTTACCAGACTCTGGAATAAGATGGGGTGGGGAAGGAAATAAACAAAGCTATACATTTTTTAAATGGAGATCCCCTACTACTGTGACCTTTCCCTGGGATAGATTTGTTCTTTTGACCTTTGTGTTTACATATTTTCCATGTAATCATTATTATAGATTTTCTTTGTCCCAGACTATTTGTAAATTTGTGGATGATGCTTATAATTTGAAGTGCACATTCTCAAAGAACTCAAATTTTAATTGGGGGTATCAAACAATACAAACTCCTGAAAATCTTGTCCAGGAATCCAGTGGCTGATCTATTCCTTGTCTCATTGCGAACGTATGCACAACATATTAAGCTGCAGGGTGCAATTCAAGGTGGTAGGAAAATCCTGTATGGTAAACTTTTTGAGTTTGTACGAAATAAGGTAGAATAAAAGGGGGAAAAAATTACCTGTGATCTCACTTCCCCGCCCCGCCCCGCATCCCCCCCAACTTGGCCCCCCCCCCCCAGCTTAACAAGCAAAAAAACCCCAGCTTAACTTTTTTTTAAATCCTTTTATTGGGGGCTTCTTATCACAATCCATACATACATACATAGTGTCAAGCACATATGTACATTCCTCACCATCATCATTCTCAAAACATTTGCCTTCTACTTGAGCCCTTAATATCGGCTCCTCATTTTGTCCCCCCCCCTTCTCCCCCATTAACTTTTTGATGTATTTCCTTCGAGTATTTTTTTATATGAAAATTTAAAAATAGATTCGCTTGTAATTATACAACTGAGTATACAGTTTTGTGCAATTTTTTACACCAGCAAGCAATGCTATATTTTAGTTTTTTTAAAAAGGCTTTCATGTATATTTTCAACACCATAATTTACAGAAATATCCCCTCTTTGTGTACATTCCTACTTTGCTTCCAAGTGACCTGCTCTGAACCTTTCTTCATGAATAGAAATAACTGGAGAGTGGATAGGCAAGGTACTTGAAACCTCAATTTCTCCATGATAAATAGTTGAAAACACTGTAGTGGTTTTCCCTAATCTTTTGTGCCAAACCTCTGGCATCTGACTAAAATTTGCCTCATTTCACTCCTTTATAGGATCCCACCCATTTTTCCCTGTACCTTCCAACTCCCTTTCCAATTGTTGATGCAAAGGTTTGTTGCCTAGTGGGTTCCTCTTTGGAGTGTTTGAGACAGCTAAGAAGACAGAATTTTAAAACTTTTTTTTTTTTTTAATTGGTGCTGGGATGTTACCTGAATGAATCTTCCTGACCTTGAACTTCTGAGCCTTGCCTTTGCTAGCGAGGCCCCTGACTGGCTGTGTCCGAGAGGCCCCGCAGCAGCGTGCATCAGTGAAAGGGGGAAGTGGAAGTTAAAGGGGAAGCGGGAGGACCATTCTCCATCCATCACTAGCCAGTCTACCGCAGGTAGCGTTCGCAACTACTGTATTCCCTGTACCTGCGGGCACGATTCCAGAGCTATTAAAATTTCTTCAAGGCGTGGCGGAGGGCGGGATAGATGGAGCATGTATATTCCTTTAGTAGACTTGTTAGTTCTAAATTGCATATAAAATACCCAAATAGGAAGCTGGGGAAACTTTCTGGGTAAGACGCACAACTCTGAATTTCATTTTAATTAATTAGTTAAAAAGCAAGAACGCCTCAGGGCATATTTGATTCGCATCCCGTAGGAACTTCAAAATGGGCTGAGGGCGCAGGCAAACTCCTGGAGTCCAGGAGGAGTTGCTGATGGTGCCAGACCTTGCTTGCAAAGCAATTTTTGTGGTTCACCCCCCTCTGGCTTCTCCCGTTCTTTTGTGGCATGTTCACAGAGCTAGCCTGAGCCTTTCCTTTTTAAAGTTCTTACATCCCAAGCCCTCTTTCCAGCTCCCGGGGTGCAGCATCCTTCACCCACTTTTGGAGCCTTTTGGACTAACTCCAACATCTGGAGAGGGGACGGGGGACTTTGTTCCCCAAAGTCGACCTTGCCCTGGGAATTTCCTGTGGTCATTTCTCGTGGCCAAGTCCCTTCCTCCGGCCGGGAGCACCAACACCCCCGGCCACGGGCCCTAGCGAACCGAGCCCGGCCGGCCCAGGGGAGCGTCCCGCCGCCCACTCGCACCCTCGGCGAAGACCGGCGCAGCGGCCCGCGCTCCCCTCGCTCCCCCTCCTCAGGTCCCGCGGCC